CCCCCCCCCCAACCCCCAACCCCTCCTGCCCTTCTACATCACTTTTTTGGTCTTTGGTTTCGCTTTTGCTTTACCCCTAACCCCGTGCTTTCCTCTGGCAGATGACCAGGTATTCTACTCTGGAGACACAGACGACCTGAAGGAATACATCAACAACCAGGTCGGCACTGTCTTCAACGGGAGAAGCAGACGTATCAGATCCAGATCCTGGAACTATGGTCAGGTAAGTCTTGCTGTGCACGAGCATAGATTGCTGAACTTACAGCCACTCTTTTGTTTGGCTTTAGAAAAAAAACTAGCTGGGCCCCCTTTTGATGAAAGGAATGATCGGTGCATTAACATCAACTGAATATAATTGGTCTACTATATTTAAACCCTACTAGAATGGAGCAATAAATCTTGAGAGATAAGTGACACATGCATTTCCAAGTTGCCAAATATATAATAGATGCATAGATTGATTCTCTATTCCGCTTTCATTGTTGTACAGAAGCGGGTTGATTGTTCCCAGTAGCAAGAAAAAGAATTTGACAAAGGAGTCCAGAAAAATGGATGATGAGCATCAAACGAAAGGATCTCAGTCAAATTTAGCACCAAGTAAAAAAAGAAAACATGAGGCTAGATCTATACTGGTCACAGACTTAAGAATAGTGCTCAGTATTGCGCGACAATGCGCGAAAGTATCGGACGGAAGTACGACTTAAAATAAACAAACCTGGCGGATTTTCTAAAATTACAAAGACAGAAGCTTCGGCCCACAAAAGCGATCGGCGAAATAAAGAAATTTAGCTTTTTACAGCGAAATTGTCTCAAAACTGCTAAAAAAGAAGGGCGTCATGATCTGGGGAATATTTTAAAGAACCTTTTGGCGAAAACTGCATGTCGATCGATGAAGCCATTAAAAAGCCTTTTGAATAGCAAAACTCGGCAACCACAAATAGATAATAGATGCTGTCATAGACGCTGGTAGCTACATTATAACTACTAGTAAAAGTGCTCGTTCTACTAACGGAATAATAATGAAGAAGTATTAGGAAAGTTAAGAAGAGGAAAAAGACTGAAAACAGGAAAGAAACAACACTTAAATATTTTACCTTGAATTTATCCATGTTGGCCCGTGGATTGATCTAAGTTTAGAAATTCACATTTTTAACAACCGACAGGCGTCTTAGATAGCCTAGATTTCTAGGGGTCGGGCACTAGGGGTCGGGCAGGGTCCGTATGAACAGACATTCAGAGAAAATCAGAGACAATTTGGG